GAAAGGTTAAACCACTGTGCCACCCATTCCACCCAATATTATTAATAAGATGGATGAAGAAATGTAATGAAATGATAGGTGAGTAAATGGATGGATGGTTGGGGAAGTGTGTACATGGATTACCTTTTCTTGGCCTGCAGTATCCCATAAATGAAGCTTATATTCCTGGTTTTCAACTATTATTATTCTTGACATGAAAGCTGCCCTGATAAATCGATAAAAGACAAAATATGATTACCCTTAAATTATGTCCAAGGGGTGGGGATTTAGGGTATAGAGATGTGCTGYTGAGCCCTCTGAACCCTGACCCTGTTCCAGAGTAAAATCGTTGAAATTCATACCCTGTTTGGCAGCACACACCTGCATRGTGAATATAGGGGAGTTCCCCTTCACCCAGCTGGGAAATTATGATATGAAACTGTAGCCTCTGAGAAATATTAAACATTTCTACCGTTATCCCAGAAAAGCTATGAAGAACAATAATTGCAAAATAAATACAAAAGATCAACCAAAAATTTATAAGTACATGTGTGTTTGGGGGAGGGAGTGAGGTTGGAAGCTAGGGGCTCCAATTGTCATTTATTTCTTAGCATAGAGGGATAAAACCCCACAACAGCTAGCCTCCCCCTCCAATCTCACAGTCTCTGATCAGAGAGATTAGCACATAGCTCAATGGACATCTGCACAAACAGGTTACATTCCTTAAAACAAGTAGTGTGTCAATAAATAACRAAGAATAAAAAGAGCACTTCAGCATTAGTTAGGGAGGCAGAGTTTCAGCTAGCTCATAATGTTAAGTATAGGAGAAATGGCATCTAATTTAAAATGGAATGCATAATTTATAAGGAGCTTGCATGCAAACAGTAATTTCCCTATAAAATATACAATTTATGTTTCAAAAATGTCATTTCTCATATAGTTAACATGTTGAGCTGAAACTCTGCCTCCCTAACTAATATCAAGGTGCTCTTTTCATTTCTGGAGTTTGTTTTGTCATAACTGCTCGTCTTGAGGGGAATAGAGTCATGTGGCCTGTTAGTGCAAAGTAAATAATAAACTCACCCAACAGTTGGTAAAGAATATGCGTCAAACGTATTTGACACAAATCTTGTAGCAATGCATGATTTTCCTACTCCAGCAGCCTAAGCAAAGAGAATATAAAAGAAAATAGATAAGCAAACGAAAATGCAAGGTTATGAACAAAGGATGCAAAAATATTYAGAGTTTTTCATAAAAATCAATCCGAGCTGTACGTAGATTAAAGCTTCATCATTTTGCCAGATCCAACTTACTCCAAGTAAACAGATTTTGATTTCACACATGAAATCATCCGGTGGTCCGTAGGAACTCATCTTTAGAGTTAAATTCGACTTTCCCAGTGTCCACCAAAGATTATAGACTTCTTAGTGTAGACTTTCTTCAAAGTTGAGCTCACTTGTTGCAAGGCCGGTACACCTCGTAAAACATCGAAGCTTTTGAAACTTTAGCCCCAACACATCGGTAAAAACATTTTTGTTTTTTACGCTGTTAACGTGCTTGACATGCAGACAGAGACAAATTAATGCAGAAGAGCTTTCAGATGCTTTATATTTGACTGCTACAACCTTTGTATTTACTTCCTGTTTGAAGTCCATTAGACCATTACGTCGGTCCATCTTAAATTAATATAAAYCCACAGCCAGCCCAAGCTCTCTGGGTTAAACTCCAGACGAAAACCGCTAAATAATACCTTCAGCGAAAAATGTTCTCAATGATTTAAAATCTATCTGAAACAATTAGAACTTTGGACGACAAATCCCGTCAAGAATAAAAAGTAAGAAAAATCTTTATTTGACTGCTTTCGGTTTTGAAACCGGAAGTCGTTTTTCCAAGAGTGACGTCACACTTAAAAGCTATATTTCAAATGTTCATTTTTTTTTCAATTTTGGAACTAAAATGTTATTTATTGATTTCCTTATTCATCAATGTTTTTAAAATCTGGAACTCTATAATGTATTTTTGGGCATAATTCTGTTATCCGAAAAAAAACTTCGATAATTTTTTGCAAAAGGTTTGAGAGTTAGCAGAATAACAAATATTCTAATGAAAAAAGAAAAAAATAACATAGCTAAATCTACCTGACTCTTTAAAAAAATACATCTTTTTTGTTTTTCAAAATATTATTTCACCAAAGAGAAAGACATAAAATGGGTAGCCTGTGGTTTGTGTACTAGAGCTCGAATGGGATTGTGGGAAACGAACCAAAAAAAATGGCGGGCAAGAAAGACGCGAAGGTAAGATAACAAAACAGAATTAATTCTAAAGAAAAATAAAGTTTTCTGAGATTTCCTTACTTATTGATCTCTTTATGCAGAGCTCTACCCTCAATTGGAAGCCTGTCCTTCGCAAGCCGTTGTAAGTACAATAAAATTAGAGTTCATGTTGTTGCTATGATACGTACGTAGCTATATTGTGCAGTGGAAACGGCTTGAAAACAATAATTTTTGATGAATTTTATTTTATTTCAGTGACAACAGTAGGGTGATAAGATTCAAATGCTCGTTGCAGAACACGAGTCTTGATGTTTTACGCTCAAAGGGCTGGTCAGAGGCAAGAGAGTGAGTAGAACAAATAGTAAACAGCGTAATACCAAAGGCTTCGCTTCCACAACCTCCACGGATACAATTTCTTTATTACTTATGACTAGAGGAAAAAAGGTTGAATATTCCTCTTACCCCAAAGGCACTGCTTTTTACACCCCCTTCTAGTTCTGCAAATTGCCTATTACCCCGCATTGAAAAAAAGTTCATAAATTCATTCTAATTTCAATWTATTCTTTCATTCATAATTTCTTTTTTTCTCTCCCATTCTTAATTCATTTTTTCCTATTTACTYTTTTTTCTTACCACATGATCTACAACTGCTCCTTTACCAACATTCAACCATTAAAGTAAATATTTCAGAGCTGCCAACTCTCCCAGATTATCYTGGAGTTTCCAGATTTTCGACCTCATTGCCCAAATTTTCCAGGATAATCGTCATCATTGACATTGACATCTGTTATTCTCTTCTYTGGTTCTATGAACTTTGAATCCAAAAATCTTGAATCCTGCATAAATGGATCTGCCCATGGTAATTAATATTTCACACAGCTAATCTGTAGTGTCCTCACGGCCCTTCCATATCCATTCTCCAGAATCGAATACTTGGGGGTTGGCAGCCCTGATATTTATAAAAATTTACAGTAGTTTTTTAAAGATTTTTTTTTTCCAGTGAGAATGACTGGGACTTTTACTGGTGTGATGTAGGATGGATGAGAGAGAGTTTTGACCATACTTACATGGATGAACATGTAAAAATATCCCACTTTAGAAACCATTACGAGGTAACAGTTGGACAAATTATAATAAAATAAATAAATAAGTAAATAATAAAGATTTGGATTCTGAGATATGATGATCAAAATCGTACAATTTGCTATTCCAATGATGTAGGTTTTTATGGATGTTAATCAAGGCAAATCCATGGGTATCCAGTCAACTCACCAACGGACCWACTCGCCCATGTATAAAATCATCGATCATGCGTTCAATCAGGTGTCCTTGAAAGCTTTGTGTCCTTCATCAGTGTTATGTAAACACTTTGATGGACTTCTACCAAAACTTAATTGTGTTGCAGTAGAAAATTGTACAATTTTGCATGTGTGATTAATTTTGAGGAGTGCTGCACTAACAGCCGACCATTTAATGGCCGTTGGTCAATTGTGTCACAGCTCTCGTTTTCAGCTATTATTCTTTAGAAATTGTTGGCTACTTGAAAGCYGGTGTGACAGTGGGCTGTTCATGGAGTAAATGTTGGATTTTGGTTGGCACTGATCTTGAGTTTTAACAGAACAATACAAAATCTGTAATTGATGRTTTTCACGGTGGCCATGTTGGAAGAACTTAACAAAATAATTGTCAATGAATTCTTTTGTTATGTCCTCCAACATGGCCGCCATGTCTTTTGYTATTTAATCCTCTTGGGAATGGTTGAAAACCATCAATAGTGGGTGTCACTATGTAATGCCTTTCAGCGTTACCTAAGAATAGATAGAACTTTAGTTATTATTATCAGGATTCAGAGTGTTTAAAGTTTTTATTTTTCCAGCTCACAAGAAAGAACCTCATGATAAAGAACTTAAAGAGACTGAAAAAACAGATTGAAAGGGAGTCTGGCAAGGCTGAGGCTGCCAAGTATCCTTCAACATTTAATTCATTATTTCATCTTGTTTGTAACTTACTATTCTTGGCTATCATGGACTTTTTGAATACGTTGTGCCCTCCTTTACCACAAGGGTTTATAATAATAATAATAATAATAATAATAATAATAATATAATAATGGATCTTGTATAGGACATTTTATCATCGTCTCAATGCACTTTACATTTTAATGACCAGTGTAGGACTGTAAATTGCTGCTGATACACACTGCAATTTTTTCTTGCACTGGCAACACAATTTCACATTTTGTTGCAGCAAAAAATTGCAATGTCTACCATACCAAAAATGTAAAAATCAATATTAAATCCTGATTGGCTAGTCTGAATTGGATTATTGCATTGTGAGTAAACATGGGAGATAGACGCTGCAATTTTCAGTTTTCACTATTTTTAGGCGTGCAAAATGTTACAGAGAAAAGTACAAATTTTTTGATTTTCTGCAATAATTTTTGTGTTGCAAGACATCATTGCAGTCAAAGTCACGGGGCATGATACACTCTGAAATTGTGTCTTGCGCTGGCAATGCAACAGAAAAATTGAGATTGCATTGCCAGTGCGAGAAAAATTGCAGCGTGTATCGGCAGCTAAAGAGCTGCATATGAAGGYGCTATTAACAGCTGTGCAACTTACAATCATATAACGTTGGTCTCCGTAAGCTTTATCTGGTTTTTCCAGTTTTCCTCTCTCCATAATGTGATAAAAATTAACAAGTGAGTTGAGTTATGTAATGAGTATATCAAGCATAGTGATAATGTTTGTGAAGCAATCCTCAACGAAGAGCCACCCATGGGGAAAATAATTGGTGTAAAATATTTTTAATGTTTTTTTWAACAAAAATTAGGATTTACATTCTTACTGTTTAAACTTAACCAAGGACATTAAGATGTGACTTTTATCCTAGCACGTTTGAACTACCAGTAAGTCAAACAGTTAATTAATTTAGATTTTTTAATTAATTGATTAATTAATTATTACTAATTAATTTTAATTAATTAATTAATTTCTAATATTTTTTAATTAATTAACTTTTAATCAATTAACATTGATCGATCAATTGATCTCAGTTGATCGATCAATCAATGAATTGATTGATCAATTGAAACAATAACAATGACAATGATATTCATTTATTGATTTGCTCCTAGATGGAATATCATATATTTGTTGAAGAATTTAAGAGAAATCCTGGTACTACATGGATTATGAAGCCTGTAAGTGTTTAGAAAAGTTTTAAATCCCATTTTAAAAAACGATTCATTTATCCATTCATCATTTGATATCAGCTATGTTATGTATTTATCTGTGCTATCAATTAGTCTAGATCCATCCAACTCTCCATCCCCGGCCCATCCACTTGTCCATTTATCCAATAGACCAGCCATGACTGCCACTAATCTATCTACCCAACCATCCATCCATTTCTTGACCCATCCACTTGCACCCAACCATGATTCTATCTTCCCGTCCATCTTTCTTCCTCCATCTATCTATCCTTATTTTATACCATCAATGCCCCTTTTCTAATTTTATCTACCGACCTATCAATCATTTTGTGTACCCATCCACCTAACCCTCAGTACCTAACTCTACCTATTCAACTCTCCAACACCATCCATCCGTCCAAATATGTGCTAGACCATCGCTGCCCCAATTTCTAATCCTATCTACCAACCCATCYATTCATTTGTCCACCCATCCACCTAACCATCAGTCTACCTACCCATCCAGAGTATCAATCAATCAATTTGTCTATCCAATTTTCCATGAAATAATCTATCTTTTCGTCTGTCTGTTTTTCTATCTCTTTTCCATTCATTCATTCATTCATCCTTCAATTTTTCGAAATTTCGTATTGTAAATTTTTTTCATACCTTCTCAGATCGCCAAATCACAAGGAAAAGGGATTTTTCTCTTTCGAAAACTAAAAGACATCATGGATTGGAGAAAGGTRATTAGATCTTGAGACCTATCATCTTAAATTTATGATAAACTTTTCAAAGCATCAGTGTGTAAGCTTTTATTTAAAACAGTTTTTAGAATTTAAGAAAACGACTTATCAATACTAATATTTTATATTTCTATTTCAGGAAGATCCTTATCGTGCACAAATTGCAGATGAAAGGGTAAACAGTGAAAAATTTTGTCAAATAATTTGTACTGACAGCCTTTAGTGATACATACTGTATTTGACTACAACATTTATTATGTCACGTTCTGATTGGTTGGGAGTGTGTGCTTTATGAGACCACGCAGCATGTGCACGCACTTTTAGCTGCATCATTCCTATCTAAAATAATGGTTATTGTAATTTGTATTTTATAAAAGAAAAAAAAATTTGCTTGCTGTGTGCTGTGTGGAGCTATATTTAAAGCACTTGGGGATTATAGATAGATACTTTTATTTAAACAGGGTTATCCTATCAGTAAAATACAATAAATTTACTGTTATCAACAGGAGCCCTAAAGATTGGAAGAACACTTGAGAAGGGTCTAGAAGCATCTCTCATGTTCTGCCAACCCCCAGGTGCTTTATGACTGCACACAGCAAGCACACACATTTTATATATTTTTTTATAACATGTTAAATATTAGCCATTAACAGAAAAAACTGGGTTGAGTTGGCATTGAAGTGCATTTTGGACATTAGAGGACATAGTGTCTATTTCTTTATCTTTAAAAGCTACCCCAAAATGCACTGGTATGAGTACTCGTCCCAGTTTTCTCCTCAACCTCTGAATGCTAACATAAACCTTCCCTTCTTTGACATGGAAATTTTGATGGAAGTTGGAGCAGTTGATGGAGTATCATTTTCTGGTGTTGTTTTCCTCAGCAAAAAGATGACAAAGAACCTGTAGAAACATATATTGTTCAGCGRTACATAGAAAACCCTTATGTCATTGGAGGTACAGTAACTGGCATGTAACATATATATGTATTGCATTTCTACTGTAACCACAGCAACTATATTTCTTAGTCACCATAGTTCAGTTCTGAGTCAAAACAATTCACCATTGCAGCAGTTTTCCCAGTGGAATTGAAATCTTGTTCCACAAACAACTAAACTTTATCTGTTTTAAAGAGTACTAAAAGGTTTACAAGGCTTCACTTGTCATGCACAAAGGTTTCAATACAAGACCAAGTGCTAAATTACATTAATTATTGTTTCGTGTCACGAATCACTGACCATTATGCATGGAGCCTTGCATTAAAACCTTTGTGCATGACAAGCAAAGCATATCACGGAATTGGGCTATTTTGTATTCTTTTCAAAGGATAGCAAACTATCGAAATAATTTATGATAAATTTTCAGCAATCTAAGTTTTAGATTCTGAGATATTTTAGATAATTATTGTTAAGCTTGTAGGACATAGCAACGGTAACAAGAGGAGTCAGAACCATCAGTTACTTAGTTTTATTAAACTTTTGTTTGGTAACCATAGTAACCATGTATTTATTAGAATATTGCTATGTAACTAAAGGTACCAAGTATTTCGAGCATCAGTTATCATTTTAATCAAGTTTTTGCGTGTCAGGTAATTTTATGACCCCTCTTGATTGCAGGTCGCAAATTTGATCTCCGTATATATGTCTTGGTAACATCGGTAAGTATCATATACTTCTGAGTAAAGCTAATATAACATTCAGACTTTATTGATACCTTGGGCTGATCAAAGTCAGGGCATGGCTAACTCACAAATAGAACCCTGAAACAACCTCTGGTCTGATCTAAGTCAGGGCACGGCCAACTCACAAATAGAACCCTGAAACAACCTCTGGGCTGATCTAAGTCAGGG